AGGAGAGGCACCTGGGTGAGGTGAGAGAGACCTGAGGAGAGGCACCTGAGCGAGGAGAGGGAGTACAAAAATCCATCGCCCAAATGATCAACCCTCTCAGACGTGACCAATACGCCGAGCACTCGCCTCCCTGTCGTTTTGCTCACTGTCACTGTCATCCAGCCACTGCTGACCACTAGCAACCTGATAGTGGGCCTGGGGCAGGTAAGTCCTACAGGAAGGGGACTGCCAACTCTCAGCTCGGGTTGCTGGTGACTCGCACCGCCTTTTTTTGGGGGGGGGTGTTCTACGCTTTATGTCCTTTGCAAACACCTTCATTCTCACAGTCGCTTGTAGTTAGTCACATGCTTTCAGGTACGTCTGCCTCGCTCATGTGTCAGCTCTGAACAAGTAAATTTCATCTTTTCGAATTTGTCTATGAGCTCTTTTTAGAAGGACATTAAATATTTGGTTTTTTCAGAGCCTCGAGGGTTGATGGGAAGCAGTTCTCACTGGAGATGAACTTCAGGAGCCTTTCATTGTTCTTGGCGTCTTAGCTGTAGTTTTCCTTTTAGTTGGGCTTTTGTTTAATTGGGGAATTAAACCACAAGCTTCGATTTTGCTTTGCAGACTCTAGATTTTGTAGGCATTCATTGTTGGGTTTTGGCTTTATTGAAGCGTGAGGCAGGCAGCTTACCTTTGTGTGTCCTGAGGGCAGCGGTCTGCTCTGCGCTTAGCTTTCAGACACAAAGGCCAAGTGTGGAGTGCACTCTAACCGGGTGGGGGGGACGCCAGTGGGGAGAGGTGGCTGGTGGAGAGGGGCAGCTGGTGGTGGGGGGGAGGAGGCTGGTAGGTGAAAGGTGTACTTGATTTCGGCAAGGGCCAGGAAGCTGAGCGGAGGCCCTGTGGCTGCCTGAAGTTTGTTGGGCGTGTCAATCTCTGATGGAGCCACCTGTCTCCAGTTCTGTGGTTGAAGGGCCTTCTAAGGTCCTGGAGATTTCACATAACAAAAACAGCTTGTGTTTAGCCAAGGCCTAAAGGCACACAGCTTGTTCTCTTTTATGTGAGTTTTTCAGCACAAAGGGTGATGGGCAGTGTCTGTGCATTCTAAGGCAAGTAGTCACCTTCGAGACAGTAAGCCAATAGTTATTTTTCCCCTTTTGTTAGAAACAAAAATCCCTGTGCTAATTAGTAATAGAGAACCATGGAACATTTTATTTTGGATGAACAAATTTACATTTGAACAATTGGAATTTAATTTTCTTCCAAACCATCTGGACTGAATCATAATCCAGGCTTGTTTTTGCAACATGTTGTTTTGATTTTTGGTTTTGTGTTTTAAGGCAAGTGAAACCATTGACTGATTCTTAAACATAGTTAGCTGCTGAAACAGGCTTCTAGGTAACGGTGAAGATGGTGAGGAGGGAAGAGGGAGGGCATGGGGGGTGGGGATGTGCACAAGGCCTTTGCAGGAAGGTAAAGCCGAAAATCAACCTTGAGAAACATAGGGAGAGGACTACACATTTGGAAATGTGGCCACCATCTAACATGGAAATAAAAGTCCTTGCTTTCCTTTCTGGAATTCATGCCAGTTTGCTTTTTAACTATGTGCGTGCAGCTTAATTTTGTCCTTCCTGAAAGGTAGAACAAAAAACACATGTTCATCAAGGATCAATCAAATGTGAACATAAAGTGATAAAAAGCAGCTTGATTTTCTTTCCTTGAAAAAATAGAAAATGTTTATTCACTAAACATGAGACCAGATTATCTATTATTCACGGCAAACCTTTTCTGGAACAAAGTGAGGCGTAAATGATTTGTTTTGCATCATGGCATAATGTGTAAAAGGAGGAGCGAGGAGAGCACTGGAGAATGGGCATAATGTAGGTTAAGTGTGCAAAGGGACCCGGGCGGGAGAGGCAGAACTGAGGGAGAGGGAAGGTCGTGGCTGCTGCACTGCCGGCCACAGGCAGCATCTCACCGGCAGCCCCAGGCCACAGCCCGAGTGCTTCACGGGTCAGCCAGAAGTTGGTTCCCACTAGGCAGCCGCGGGTGATGAGTGACTTGTCAGTAAAAAGCTACTGTCTCTCTGTTGGCCTAGCCTGTTGCTAACCTGCAAGTACCGTAATTTTTAACATAGCCTAACATTTCCCAGTTAATTTTCCAGAAATCCTAGATTGTCTTTGTCTTTGAGCATTGAATATTCACTGAGGGTTTATTGCTTGCATTCCTTTGTGACAAAGTTTTGGTGAATAATTACTCTAACATTTAATAAGCACATCCTAACCGATGGCCTAGTGGTAAGAAGTTGTGCTGTCAACCCTATGGTGTACAGTTCAAATCCACCAGCTACTCCACGGGAGAGAGGTGAGCAGTCTGCTCTTAGGTGATTTCAAGTCTCTGAAAACCTGGTAAAGTGGGCACGTGGTCTCAGTCCACAGCTGCTCAGCTAGAGAAGGCTTGGCAACCTCCCGTGGATTTACTGCCTCGGAAAACCCTCTGGAGGGTCAGCTGTGAGTTGGTTCCCGCGCCACAGTACACTCCACGACCAAGGGAACATTGTATGGTCTAACTGCCAAGCAGGTGGTCACAGACAGAAACTGTAGGCTGTGGGATTGGAGGGGGGTCTTCACAATGAGAAGAAGTCTAAGCATGTTTATCTAAACAGTGTTCATTGCTTAACTTGTGAAATATACTTTGGGCCATCATTATAAAAATAGAAGGATAACTAGTAAACATGTGTTGGGATTCAAGGGGGGGAAGATGAGCAGGGGCGAAATTACAGGGTCGCACAATTTGATGGGTGGAAGGGGGGGAGGAAATGGGAAGATTCGTGGGGACCTGAAAAGACTGGGTAATGGTGGGAATAGTCTAATGATGATTAATTTGATAAAACATTTTGAGTCGGAATGATTGTATGAAACACAATGTGAATGAGGAATAGTGTGAAACATGATGTATATGAACTTTGTAAGCAAACCGACGTAAAACGTAAAAAAACCAACCCACTCAACCCTTTATTCTGGAGCAGCGTTACCCACAGAGTCCACTAGGTGGTAGCCTAGCTGTCTTTCTTCACTGCACTACAAACAATAAAATGTCACTTTTACTTAGATTGGACAAGAAGTTCTTTTCCTTTGAAAATGATGAGGAAATTCAAAACAAGTTAGTGGTTTAGTAATTGTGATGACAGATACTGGAGGAATGCTTTCTTTTGATGTGATATATTTTGGTTCACATTTACACAATATAAGAGAAATTTATGTTCAAAGCATGCATGACATAAATAGATGTGAAATCCCAGATGACTGCATGAATGTGTTTGACATAGATATGAAA